ACTAAGTAAAGATGGGAGACCTATTAATGAGGTAGTAAATCTTTATCAACTGAGATGATTTGAACATATGTTACGCATGCTCAACCACCACCTACTTCGATGAGGGATGTTGTGTGGTGGAACAGGTTGCAAGAAAGCTAGGGGCAGCCAAACCAAACCGAAATATGTCACCAATCCATTGACAGTTGGTCTGAGCCACATTTATAGGTGTAGACTTCCTGGTTGCTGTCCTTATGATTATCATAACCAGTGATTAGAGACCTTGAGTGACATGGCTCAAAACTGTTTACAATGGTACATGTACATTTATTCTTTGTCTTCACTCAAATTCTTAGTTTCTGAATTCCCCATAACTTTTTCTTATGAATTTATATTTTCTTGAATCATACCTTCGATGCCTAGACTTTACTATTATTAACACGAATACTGTTACTACTTTTACAATTCTGGGAGTTGGCCTAACAATTTCATTTCACCGTGCTAATGGAGTATGGCAACTTGAGCCGATATACATACATACCAGGTTCTATGTTGTGACTGGCTAAATTGGATACATTTGTACAGTTTCACTCAACTTGACAATAACTGACTTGGTCGTTTTACTTGAGAGACTGACGATGAAATTCATACAAATTAGGAGCACAATTAGAAAAACAGATATTTTAAATTGTAGCACTTCAAGTTAATAGCTAACAATTATAACTGATTCATGGATACCACCATAGTCTAAAATATCAATTGATAACTTTTTGGATTGATATAAGCAATTGTGATCTACTTAATTATTTCTCAAATTATTAATAAACCAAAATAGTGTAGTGAAGTAAAATAAAAGTTGTTTATCAGATAGTAAGTTCAGTACCTATCTTGAAAACCCTTAACAATTGAATCACTTTAATTTACTAATATCTTTGAAATAACTTCGCCTGTAGCTCTTCTAGGGTTACTGCCGGTCCAAAGCTCGGGTAAAGGAGGATAGTCGGGCATGGGGTCAGCAAACCCATCCCGTAGAAAACAATCTTCCTAAAAAATGCTAACCAAAGTAAACAATCTATCCTTGAACTGATATAACCTCGATCAAAATAATATTTAATTATCAGAAGGGGTTTGGTGGAGATTTAGTATTTTTCATAGTTGAAAGCGTGGGTTCGAAACTCACGAGAGCGGGTTCATGGATGCGCACTGCTGAGGAGTCCCATAATAGGACGAAACGGCCGTCCAGTGTTTCCAGGTTTTCCATGGTGGTCTAGCTTCAATTGACTCACGCTTTCAACTATGCAAAATAATATTTGTTGATATTAAATAATTAGAAAGAGAAGTGATTTGTCCTCATTTTATGACATTAATGTCCAAAAATTAAAGCCATAAGAATAAAACACAACAGTATGTAGATTTACATTAAATTCACAGCCGTTACAATTTTATGGATATGCCATATGGATGGTTTTATATGTGTAGTTGTTCTATGCTCAATTCACATACACAAAAACAACACAATAAAACAAAATGCAGAAAATTTTAATCGATTCATTGATTATAGAAAATTTGTTTATCTTTTGTAATATTATTATTGGATTTCTCATAAACAATCGATTTTACATAGGGCGTTTGTTTTCTAATTTAGTTGCTAAACTTTAGGGCTAAAATATGTCAAGGCTGTTTTCTAAGCTCATCCCTGAATATACTATAACTCTCAAGTGAAGTTTTACCTAGATGTATAGAATAAATATTTGAATTTATTGTCAATTAATTCTGCATGGATTAAAACAATACCATTTTTTATATTGTATAAAGCATGAATAATTTAGTTTATTTAAAACTTATTATTTAATCATAAGTCACATGATATTGTCCAAAACTGGATCTTTATTTCCATAAATAATTATTAAAGTATTAAGTTTATTGGTTAAAATCAAATCATCCTTAAATACTAGATAGAGAAAAATAACATCACCTGATTGATAAATTGAAAAACTGTGAAATTACGTATAAGTACACATTCATAGTACTAATATTTTCAGATCGAGGGAATGTACTTTGAAAAAGCAAATCATTTTTATACTAATTTGGAAAATAGGATAAAAATTCAATACGAAACCATTTCCTTAAAAACAAAGTAACAATATTCACGCATAAAGTCTACTATTAAGAAACATTTAGAAAAACATGAATAGGGGATATTGGAGAATTATGCTATTAAAAACCTTGGACAGAATGTGATGACTTTAGACACTGTATATGATCACATAGAAAAAGGGAGTTCTAAATGCAGAGGGAACTGTAAGACTATAAGCATAAACTGTCTGGTTTTAAACCGTAGGAACAGTATTTGTATGATGACCAGACAACTCTTCAGGCTAATGAAAGAAACCCGAATCAATAAGTCAAGTGTAAGTGAGACAATCTCAGAAAAGGACGACACTTATCTGATCTCAGACAATACGTTTAGAATGATGGACGGAACACTACAAAACAGTTTAGCTGATCTCCAGCCACTCTACAATTACCCACCTTCCCAAACAGCCTAAATGGAACATTGAAGTATATCCCCCGACTCTAGCAGAAGTTTTAGAGGCTAAAGCTAATCTGAAACGAGGAACAGCAGCCGATCCAGATGGATTGGCTCCAGAGGTGTTCAAGTATGGTGCTTCAATTATAGCGATTAGGTTGACAAATATTTTAGCAAAAATCCGGTAATTGAACGTAATCCCATCCGACTGGTCACAATCATTGATTGTCCCAATATATAAGAAGGGGTCAAAATCATCCTGTCATAACCATAGAGGGATTAGTTAACTAACACAGCATCTGGAATATAAGCCTTAATAATTATCGGGCGCCTAACTAAGACTCGTGAACTGCAAACACGAGAAAATCAGACTTGTATCGGACCTGGTCGCGCCTGTATCGACCACATATTCACTACTCATCAGGTTTTAGAACACAGACATGCTCCAGGACTGGTCTGCGTCAACACCTGAACTAAGGATGAAGAATGAAGTAGTCGAACGTGTCGATAACTTCACTTTACTTGGAAGTCTGATCAGCCCTAATGGGTTGGTGATTGACCAAATCTCTGCACGGATTCAAAAAGTTCGTTTGGCTTTTGCCAACTTACATCGCCTACGACGAAAACGAGATATCCGTCTACTAATTAAGGGACTAGTATACTGCACAAAAGTTCATTCTGTTCTACTTTACGGCAGCGAAACATGGCCATTAAGAGTAGAAGATACTCGTAAGTTACTAGTATTTGACCACAGATGCCTTAGAAATATTGCTCGCATCGGCTGGGACCACCAGGTAAGTAATAGTGAGGTTAGACTCAGGGTATTAAGGAATGATGGTAAATCAGTTGGTGAGATTGTGAATCTTCTTTGACTGAGGTGGTTGGGCCACGTGTTACGTATTCCTGAACACCGATTACCACGACGCGCAATGCTGACTAGTATTGGGGATGGTTGGAAGAGAATTAGGAGCGGTCAAATCAAAACTTGGTATCAGTCCTTGAAGACACTAACTTCTAGTCTGGACCATGTTGGTAGATGTAGACTACTTGGTTGGGGTCCGCATGACTATCGTAACCAATGGTTGGAGACTCTGTGTGACATGGCTCAGAATGGATCACAATGGCGTACATGTTTACACTCTCTGTCTTCCTTTCTACTGTGAGATTAAAATTGCTTCATATCTTTCTTCCTGTATTATATCCTTATATGCAATCTTTCTTCTATATATTACTGTCATTGTTAAACAGGATGAAGGATTCCGTGGACGCTCAACTTCGAGATCAACAAGCTGGATTTCGTAAGGATAGATCGTGCACAGATCAAATCGCAACTCTACGTATCATTGTGGAACAATCAATCGAATGGAATTCATCACTCTACATCAACTTCATCGACTACGAGAAGGCATTTGATAGCGTGGACAGGACGACACTGTGGAAGCTTCTTCGACACTACGGTGTGCCTGAGAAGATAGTAAATATCATACGGAACTCCTATGATGGAATAAACGGCCAAATCGTCCACGGAGGACAACTCACCGACTCGTTCGAGGTAAAGACCGGTGTTAGGCAAGGTTGCCTACTCTCACCCTTTCTCTTTCTCCTGGTGATCGACTGGATTATGAAGGCGTCAACATCTGGAGGAATGCACGGGATACAGTGGACAGGCAGGATGCATCTGAACGATTTAGACTTCGCGGATGATCTGGCTCTTCTATCACAAACGCAACAACAAATGCAGGAGAAAACGACCAGTGTAGCAGCAGCCTCAGCAGCAGTAGGTCTCAATATAAACAAAGGGAAAAGCAAGACTCTCCGATACAATACAATATGCACCAATCCAATTACACTTGACGGAGAAGCTTTGGAGGATGTGGAAATCTTTACATATCTGGGCAGCATCATTGATGAACACGGTGGATCAGATGCAGATGTGAGGGCGCGGATCGGCAAGGCAAGAGCAGCATATTTACAACTGAAAAACATCTGGAGCTCAAAACAATTGTCAACCAACACCAAGGTTAGAATTTTCAATACAAATGTCAAGACAGTTCTTCTGTATGGGGCAGAGACGTGGAGAACTACGAAAGGCATTATCCAGAAGATACAAGTGTTTATTAACAGCTGTCTACGCAAGATACTTCGGATCAGATGGCCAGACACTATCAGCAACAAGTTACTGTGGGAGAGAACAAACCAGATTCCAGCGGAGGAAGAAATCAGGAAGAAGCGCTGGAAGTGGATTGGGCACACTTTGAGGAAATCACACAATTGTGTCACAAGACAAGCCCTCACATGGAATCCTGAAGGTCGAAGGAGAAGAGGAAGACCAAAGAACACATTACGCCGAGAAATGGAGACAGACATGAGAAGAATGAACAAGAACTGGAAAGAACTAGAAAAGAAGGTCCAGGACAGAGTGGGTTGGAGAAAGCTGGTCGGCGGCCTATGCTCCATTGGGAGTAACAGGCGAAAGTAAGTAAGTAAGTAAGAAGTAACTACTTCTATGAATTCGATGTTCATCTTGTCGTGCTAATTAGGTATGGCAACTTGGACCGATGCATACATGTGCCTGGTCCTACGTTGTAGATGACCGACAGACTCATATGATGAAATTAAATCTATTAATTTACAAATTTAAATTTGATTCAACTACATTTGCAGCTGATACTCAGTTAGTAAGTTAGTTCATAAAAATCAAGTAGCAGTTGTCAGAATTTCGTACAACTATAAGTTTATGTACTTGACTTTGAGCCATAGTCTAAATGTATGAGTAGTAATGATAAATTCCAGTTGTCTAAACCGAAGTATATGAAGCAAGGTTTGAAATCCCGACTTATGGTATGAAGTCGGACAGTCTTAAAGAAAACATGGGCTCCACTACCTATTTAGTATATCAACAGAACATCAGAAGTTGAAAGGAAAATACTACCAATAGTACTAATGATGGAAACAGAAAATACACTTGCTAAAAGAAATAGATGGGAAGCTTAAGGTTGAAATATCGATAAAAAAACAAACGCATCTGAGATATTGTCATGTTAGTTGAGCCATAATATAGTGGATAATTCATTGTTTAAATAAGTTAGATGACTAACAGCAAACATCAGTTGTAAAATGTCATGTTTCATGAACTGGCTTATAGAGTGATTTGGTTACAAATACATAATACTAGTCTCACTACTATGGATGTCAATTAGTGTTGGGGAGACCCCAAAAACTCCTCGAAAAAAAGCCAAGAAAGGCTCTGAAAATGCTGAGAACCATCTTATCCAATCAGCATTCACTAGAAGGTTTACCAGAAACATCGAGAAAGTGAAAAGTTACATGTTGAGTTTCTGATTGGATAATTAACTATACTGCTACTATGTTTAGTAGCGTTCCAGAATTTTCCGGAAACCCAAGGCCATCTAAAATACTATAAAACCCTAGATTTTCTGTAGATAAACGAACCTTTGGAGTATAGCGCTTCTCGAATATCTTGCGCCTTTTCTCTCGTGTTTAAGTTGCTGTGTAGATACAGTCCGGGGGTTAATAGAAGTGTTTAGGAACCGAATCTAGCGTTCAATTAGAAGACTTATTAGTGGAGATAGGGAAAACAATGAATATTTCTTTGGAGCAACTAAAAGCTAGTATAGAGCGTCAAGAGAAGCGGTCTGAACAGTCTCAAATCGGAATTATGGAAGTCCTTACGCAGAAAATGTGCCTGTCCTAGCAAAACCTTGCTTATGGTGAATTACAAGTACCCCATACTGATTCAGTCATTAATGCAATACATGAATTTAATTTTGATGGTGTAGCATGTGTTACTTTTGACTCTTGGTTTAAGAAATATGAAGGTCTTTTTCATATTGATCTCTGAAGACTGGATGATGCCTTAAAAGTCAGAAAACTTGGGATGACGGAAAATGAACGCTACAGTAACTCTTCCAAAGGACCTACGAGACTTCAGTCTTGATGAAACAATTGAAACCCTGTCATCTCTATTTATTATTCGTTAACAATGCTTAAAGATAATGAAAGAACTAGGAGATGACGGGGTGAAACATGCAGGAATCATGAACCAAGAATTTGAGAGGTTCAAGTTGTCTGCCATGACAGAAGACCAGTTCAAATGCCTAGTATTTGTCTGTAGCCTGAATTCACCCGAGGATGCTGACAACCAAACTAGGATTCTTAGCAAGCTCGAACATTCTCCTAGCATGACCCTACAGGAAGTAACTACCGAATGCCAAAAGCTAGTGAATTTGAAGCACGATGCCTCGATGGCAGAGAACGGTAACCGGTTCCTTTACGTTAATGCACTCGGGAGAAAAGTCTTATGAGATTCGAGCACGCAGAATTATCGTAATGACGGCGGCAAACCCATCATCCCCTTGCTGGTTATGTGGCGGTTGGCATTACAAAAGGTTTTGTCCAATTAAAAACCATAGTTGTACTACGTGTTCCAGAAAAGGGCACAAAGAAAGTCATTGCAAAACCGGGAAACGCCATCAACTGAAAGTGTATTCTAAAAGATCCAAGCCACGAACAGCCAATGTAACGGTAGCTCTTAACAGAACCAGCTAGCATAACCGTAGAAAGTATGTTTCTCTCAAGATTAATCGGCATGATGCCCGCTTACAGTTAGACACAGCTTCCAATATAACACTTATAAGCAGAGGAACGTGGGAGAAAATTGGGAGACCGATAATATATTCAACCTATCAATCAGCACACAGTGCATCCAGGGGAATGCTAAACATTGTTGGTGAAACTCATTGTAAAGTCGATGCCTTTTATTTCATTAAAAAGGTAGAATAAATAATGGAAGAACTTTGTGTCATTTAGTTAGATTTCAATCAATCAATACATAAGACAAAGGAATGGTATCACTCTTTTCAACATTCTTTGTTGAAACGTTTTTCTTTCTGAAATCGAATGGCAAGTCCAACAAAGCGTTTGCTTCGACACACAGCCTACACCAACCATTATCCATGCTCCTAACGCTTAATCGACTGAAGACAAAGAAAGAGTGTGAAGGAATTGTGTTGCAACAGGTCGGATGAAAGTACTCAGATCTCACAAGTATTTGTAAATAGACAGACTAACCCAAGCATGGATATATGTATAGTGAACTAGGTTAGATGAGTAATTTACTTATTTATGATGGCTCAACTATACATACTTCTGGCTTGTTATGTATTCTTAAGAAAGGGTGATTTTTCTCGCTTTGGTCATTCTGTCAATGTGGACTATAACTAACAAGAAATATCGGTTTTTTGAACATAAGTTGTACAATATAATTACTTAGTCTGATAATTAAACATCAAAAGGGTTTGTGATGTTTGTTTTATCCTAAGGAAAATGAATTTTTAGTCAGAGATATAGTGCATATAACGAAAAAGCCTTTAGAAAAAAAAAGAGCTACTGAAATAAGCATTCGGTCCGATTATATTATTATTAATTATTTTCTATGTCAAGGAAGAAACGTTGTCATGATAACGCTACTGTAAGTACAAACGTCTAATAAATACAGCCAACACTATCATGAAATAAACTGGTTAGAAATTAGAGCCATCGACATCAATTGTATGATATAAAGTAATTCTTCGTATAATTATGTTTTGTTCAGAAGCTCAGAAGTATTCAAACTAATAGATACTACTATTATTTTATCTGAGTGATTATATTGCTATTATTTTATTTTACGTAGTGTAACTGTTATATTTGAAGCGATTATGAGTTCCCTAATCTGAAAACGAATAAAGACTCTATGACCAAAGAACAATAAGTTAGCTATTCTGACGCGTCCCAGCCCCGTATACTAGAGTGAGAAGTCCAAGTTCGAAGTGGGGAAATATATTCCGCAAGCAGCCAGAAGCACAAGCAATCGCGATCCGTCTAGTCTGAAATACACTCATTTATACATTGGTTGGTACATCTATTTTTGCTTAAACAATCAGAATAAGTCATATATATGAAAATAATGCATACAAGAATGTCGTATGTTATACAGAATTAAAGGTCATACGAGGAAACGAAATAAATACTATACTGAGTGATCATCAAACTGAATTAAACGAAATTGATGTTGAATAAAAATCATAATGAGCAAAATCAATCTAATTTTGACCTTTCATCCTGCCATAATACCTCCCTTTTTTGAAGACTTGAAGTTTAGACCCTGACTTTAAATTTTCTGGCTTTCTACTCCCCATGAAATAATGTTGGGTCAGGCTTTCTGGTACTTCTGAAGCTATTGGGCTTCTTTTTTTGACAAAATCCCTCTTTATTGCCCACAGCTATACACTTCCTGCACCGATGTTGTTTATAAGGACGCCTTCGAACGTAATACCATGCACCGCGGTGCCATCATGGAGCAGGAGGGTAAGGTCATATAAGTCGTTGTTCTGATTGGCTACCTTGTCACATAATATTTGATGAGCCACAGGACATAACATCTCCCATTTATGAAACCAATCCTTCAACAGTTATCATAATCGAAAATCGTGGAAAAAAGCATAAAACACGAAGAATACGAATGCTATACAAAAACTAAGTGTAAGTAGACAACCACCAAACAAAGAATAAAAATAACTAAAAAAACATAAGAAACATATAGTTACCAAGACTGAACGAAGACCTCGAGCTCCTGTATGTTGACTTAATGCTAGTCGAGCAATAGCTTTTAAAGCATCAGGAGTGACTCTCAGTTCACACTAAGAATGAAAACAAAAAAGGGGGATAGACTAACAGGAAGGTAGAGAAGATGATCAGCATAGAGAAACAAAATAGGTTAGAAAACGATATCAACTAACTGAAATGGCGTACAAGATATTTAAATAATTTATCTGAGGAGCCAATACTATTCTTCAAACATGATCGTAATCTCTGGTCTTACACATCATTTCCTATCCCTTTTAACTTCTCTCAGACCGACTTACTCCTACTTCCCAGGCCTTAATGATACTTTATGTTCAAATTTATCTTATCATGGATCCCTGTTCAGTGGTCTAGAGGTTAGGTGTTCGTAAGCAGGACTGAAAATCCTTGGTTCGATTCCTAATTGGAAGGTTGTCGATACGGACTTCCAAGGAGTCCTATACTAGGACGAAATGGCCATTCACTGCCTTCAGGTTTTCAATGGTTGTCTAACGAAGGTTGCCCCCAAATACCCTGGTACGGCTGAGAGTAGGGAGAGTACGCTCTCCCTCTCGAAATGCTTTCACATGGCCACGCGAATATATAGCCTTTGTCAGGGAAGTCCTACTCACTGCCTTCTCTCGGCATTACTGTTGTTTACAAAATTGAGAGGACGAAAAGTGAATGTCCGGCGTTTTAACCGGGTTGGTGGACACGGGAAGTCCACCTAGGGGAGTTGGAAAACCGTCATTCCAAACCAATGGTGCACATCGGCTCCAGTATTCTGAGGGAACAAATGGCGTATGAATCAATCGTTGCTCACCGGCTACCATGGGACTGCATCTCCTCACGATACTCCAATACCTTGTGGATCAGACCTTTAGGTCAAAGGCTGTGGGTGTTGCCCCCTAAGAAAACCACCTGCTTCAGTTTGGGCACCTGGGCAGTATCACAGCACTCACACAAATCAAATGAGATTTGTGTGGCGCATATATATCTGGTGCCCCTTTGTACCAATATTTATGTGTTTAAATAAATAAATAAAACGAAGGTTCATGATTTCAATGAAATTCAGCAATCTCTACAATCTCATACTGAAAATCATCATGTTGAGTAACCTACTTTGGTAGTTGTTAAACATTATCTATTTTCTGTACAGCTTCGAATCAATTTCTCCAGCTTTGTAACAACTCTGTTTCAAAACTATTAATCAGAATATACTGCCTTTTAAGCAGTTTTGCTGCTGTCACTTTTGTTATTGTTATTGTTAGTAAACGATAACGTAGTAAACTATGGTCGAGAAATAAAAGTGTTTAAAAAAGTATCGCACACATTTGTGACTAGTACAACTACGAGAGAATGATATTGCTGCTCATGCATGGTGGCCAGGTAAGGATAACAAATCGAATAATGTGGCAGTAGTGAATTTTCATTGACTGAAGTTAGAGACATAGATTATGCCTGTACCAAACCACTGTTCACTTCGACTCATGATGATGATTGATGTAAGAATGTTACTGATTGATATTACTGCTACTCCAACTAGTAATTTTACAGTCATATTACGACACATCTTGATTGACTAACAAATGTATTTTTTTCATTTAAAATCTCTTTTTTTGTCTTTACGACATAAACTGCAGTGTACATCTGACCGTATAACTTTACTCAATGAATCTATATTGTTTTCTTGAACCGAATCTTCGATGCCTAATCTTTTCTACTACTATTAATACTGCTGCTACTTGTAGTAATCTGACATTTCGCTGTGCTGTGGCAACTTCAACCGTTGTGAATATGTGCCAGATTCTATGTCCGTATGATTGATCAACATCTCTTCGTTAAACCCTACAAACACGCGCATACATGTAAGTGCACTATTGTTTCAAGTCAGGATATTTTAAGCATAATTAATAAGGCGAGAGGAATTAATTGATTATAAAATAATTATAAAACTAACACTTACACCATCAATATTAAAAAGTAATTGATATTGTTTTATCAATGCATTACGTGGTTCTGTAAGAACACGAACAAGCATTTCTTCATTCAATGAATGTAGAGCAGTAATTATAGGGAAACGACCAACAAATTCCGGTATCATTCCATAAGTAATAAGGTCATTAGCTTCAACTTCTTGTAATAATTTATCACGTTCATCATTTTCTTCATGAGCTGAACTTTCAAAACTTTGAAATAAATTTAGAGAATCTGTCGCACTTGGATTTACTGGTGAAATGCATTTATCTTGTGCAGTCGATTCACTCATAGATGTCAACATATCAAATCCAATAGTCTAAGATTTGAATTAAAAACAAGGAACGTAGTTGAATGTGAATTCAAACCACAAAAAATTGAAAACTTATAACTTGAGTGACAAAAATTAGACGGATGCTACTATTGATCAGTAATACAATGAAATAACTTCTAGATCAATTTTGCTAACATTACCACTAACTGATAGTCCAATTTATTCGGTGACGAATGAAATATTATACAGAGATATTTTTCCCGGGTATGGAGTGATGGTCTCAGATAATCGATAGAAAACTAGGTTAGGTGCCGTTCGGCATTCATCTAAGGTGATCTTGAGGAGACCGATGCCCCCTGGAGGATTCAACCCCGTGTCACCCAGCTGCACAGTCAGAGAAGTTACCAATGAGCTATCCATGTAGAACTCCTGCAGGTGTGAGATGTATTTGCAATTGATTGATCACTGAGTAGCAACCAATTTCATCGATCTTAAGTCCTTCCGAGGAGTATCAGTTTCCCGAAGATCACCTTGGTAATGAGTGCCGAACGCCAGCAAACCTAGTCTCCTATAGATTACCTCCAACCATCACCTTACATCTCAACGTACTGAACGGGATGTCGAGTCACTTAGACCAGTGTGTGTCATCAACTGATGACAACAGTCGATTATTATTTCCCAAATATAAATAGTAAATACTAGAATGATAAATTAATAGTACACTACGGTTAGCTATGTATAAAAAGACGTTTTAAATAAAATTAAATTCCAGTAAAATGAATACATACAACTTGACAGCCCTTTCACTAGTTAATGTAAGCTCGGTATTAGTTCACCTGCTTTTTCTCCAATCAGAAAACTACGATACACTTCGAGAACATAGATGAAACGTGTAAATGTAAAACAATGAAGAGAAATCATATATAGATATCGAGTCCTGGAGTCAACAACACCTCTGGGATGCAGGGACGTTCAGTGAACGAGTCCCAACAGAACTAAATGCCCTCCCGGGTTCTACTGCTAGCCATCATCTATATCTGCTTAAAATGCGTGTGACCTAATGAGGATATCGGGCAATCCGCACACGATGTGCACAAGCCAACCAACCAATGCAAATGGGATTTAATGTTTAACTAGATCTACGGATACATTAGGGGCAATACAAATTAAGTATGTCAGATGACCTGAAATAAAATTATAAGATAAAATAAGGAAACAATAATGTCTTTAATGTATGAAACTTCTTTAAAACATAAAAAAATAGAAACCAGTTAAACCTTTTTATGTTTTCGTCGACTAATTATCTTGTCAAGTCCATTGAATGCACCACAGGCTATAAAAAGTATGTTGGTTGTATCCACGACAAAAGTTTCGCCACGTAATTTACGCGGACTTTTGACATCAGGTACGTTAACAACTGAACCTTCTAAAAGTTTTAACATAGCCTATAAATATGTTTTTTGAAGAGGAAATAAAACAAAGATAATTAGATAATGAAGAAAAAACATGAAACAAGCATTTATTTCACATAAATATTGTGTATATAATGAAAGTAGAACTAATCACAACACTTTTTATTCGAGCAACAAATTAACTACAGTAAAATTTTATAACTATTACTATTATTATAACTTAAAAACATCGGTACAAAGGGGGACCAAAATATATATGCATCATATAAAATGTGTGAGGGCTGGGATACTGCGCGGGCGCCCAAACCAAAGCAAGTGGTTTGTATAGAAGAGCACTCCTCGAAACTGTGACCTAGAGATCTAATCCAAAAGCCAGTTGAGCAACGTTAGGATATGCAGTCCCATTGCATTCGGTGATTAAGAATAGTTGTATACGCCATTTGTTATCTTAGGATAGTGGAGCCCATGTGTACCATTAGCTTGGGGTCAGGGTTATCTAACTCCCGTAGATGGATCCTTTGTATCCACCAACTCGGTTTAATCGTCAATCACTTTGAGTTCTTTCAATTTCGCAAACAGCAACTGTGCCTCGGGGGGGTCAGTGAGTAGGACCTCCCTAACAGTACCTGTACATGCGTGACCATGTGAGAGCACTTCGAAAGGGAGAGTGGACTCTCCCACCCTCGGCTCCTGCATCAGGGCATTTGGCGGCAGTAACATTATTTAACAAGTAAAAATTAATATAAAATATTGTATCAACAATTATATATATATATATATCCCACCTGTTGAACACCTTCGCCACTAACATCTCGTGTAGAAAGATGATGCCCAGTTTTAGAGCTTATTTTGTCTATTTCATCTAGAACCACTATACCTTGTTGAGCAAGTTCCACATTGAAATTCGCATTTTGTAATAATCTACCAATGGTTGATTCAACATCTTCACCAACATAACCAGCTTGGGTTATACTTGTACAATCATAAAGAGCAAAAGGTACATTTAAATAATGAGCCAAAGTTTGAGCCAACAATGTTTTGCCTAAAAATAACAAAAACCAAAATCTTCAAGCGTTGTTGAGCAAACTTTATTCTTGAGATCATACTATACATCGCATGAAATGTTCCATACGCCAAAAAAATAAGAGCATACTGATAAGAAAATACGTAATCATATTAAGAGTTTGAAGAATATAAAGTGAATTTTGCAACTATGGTTCATTGTTTAAACCCGTTGTGTTTCTCAATTCGAACCAGCTACTAATGCATGCTGCTGAACACTTGGCAAGATCGCTTTACAGAATGGAACGTAAAAGACTGTGTGAGGAGCTACACTGTCGACATAAAATGACATTGCTTACAACTCTTTCGTCTACATTAATTAGCCGGACTGATCCAGGAGGGGATATCTAGGGGGTTGCTTTGGCTTGCTAAGTAATTCGCTTGTTCGTTGTAGCCTACCTATACTTCCATCTCTTATTAACTATGTTAAAGCATGTGATTCACATCCAGGCTTACCCTTTATCTTAAACCCTCGAACTATTTGATACATATTCAGTGAGCAATGTAATAATATCCATCCATCCATTAACCTAAAGGCTCGTTCAATAACCAAGATATAGGACAACATTCAAACCATGAACCGACAATCACTGAGGGCCCGGAAGGGGTGGGCGTCCACTCCGTCCCAATATGGGACTCCCCGAAAGTCCATATCCACAACCCACCAATCGGGGATCGAACCCAGAACCCTCGGTCCTGCTCGCGAACGATTAACCTCAGTACTAACCCGGCATGTAACAGTGTTAATGTTTAACCTCAATCAATTCACGATAATTATCAGCTGAAAGAGAGTAAATGACAATGAATGTGAAGATAAAGTTATTAAATCATCCTGAAGGATATAACTAGCTTATTTAGTTGACTTATTGTATGCATTAAAAAAACTGACTCACATTATTATCATTAAAATAATTAAGTTAAAATTAACTCCAAGTGGTAAAATATTCAGAGAATACAGTTTGGGGTTCATTAAATTAGAACAGTCCATGTTTCACTTCTTAATTTTTAAAATATAGATTAAGGAAGGATAAACGAAGTATTGTTATTTGAAACGTGAGGTAAGCATTGATATCAATCTTGATAAATTAATCAATATATCTCTCACGTCATCGGACTTATCACCAAAAGATAGGGCTGTATATATGATAAGAAATCGTTGACACAAAAAGTATTGATTATTTGGTTGTGTGGTGAATCGGCAAACTCCCACTAACAACCAAACAAGATGTCATACGCTCCCATCATCTTCAGACGCAAGTACTAGGTACCCAATGTATAGAAGTTATGTCGTCCAAGGTGTCAAAACTAAGTTCGCCAACATAACTATATTTTCTCCACAGAACCAACAGACCATGAAAATCTCCCATTTTCCAAGACTTTAAACAGAACAGCCACATAATAAAAAAAGCAGGCACAAGTTTTTTTAGGATCGAGATCCTTAATTTTGGCGAGTGGACAAATTAAAAAAAGATTAAACCGTACCATAACTTACGAAATTTCAATAAGTACATAAGACACTTTTGCCACAAAAGTTGATGATTTATTTATATGATTGATTGACTCAAGTATATTTTCAACCCAAAAAAGATAACAGAAATCATGTGCTTACTATTGACTAGCTTCAAGATGTAACTCCTGGAGTTCTAGTGAGAGGTCGTGACCAATGGAGTTCAATTTGTGTCGCGTGTGAGACAGTAAATGTCTAACCTTAATCAATTCACAATATTCCGCGGCCATCTTCCATTAACTGGTGGATAATTGTCTCACACACGTGGTTGAAATCCATCGGTCACGGCTTTTCGTTGTAACTCCAGAAATTATATATTGAAGCTATTCACTAGTGAGCATATGATTGAAGTTAGATCGCTGCACAATAGTCTAGATATTAGGCATTCATACGCGATATTGAGGATCCTGAGTTCGATCCTCGTGTGCAGGGTCTTGGATGCTCACTACCGAGGAGTCCCAATATTAGGACATGACGGCCGTTCAGCGCTTCCAAATTTGCAATAGTAGTCTACCTAAGACCAGTTCATGATTTACACTGAAAAATTAATGAGTCAAGTGACCATTAAAAATTAGGATTGTTTAAAAAATACTATAAAACAACTGTACGACAAATACTCATAAAAGAAATGCAAACTAATTCATTTAAGAATGTAACCATATACATCTCATGTTCTGCTTTCTCTGCACCTTTCAAACACTAATTACAATCCACTATCTATTCAATACTTTTTGCAGAAACTTAAAAATGACTCTCACTGGAATATGGAACAATTTATGTGCAATCTTTAGGCGAACAAACATGACATGTTGAGTCGTATATTGTTACCGGTACTTCTATGTTGTAATAGACAGTGAATGTTCAACAAAATTATGACTCAGCATACCAGTTAGTTTAATTTCCACGACATTGAACTGACGTTACAAATCGTACATTACTTTACTTTACCAATAAACAAGCATTATTAACGTGTATGAGTATTAGGAATTATAGATAAACAGATTATATAGCAATGCTACCCACTACTACAGGTTTCCAGATCCCCATTCTCATCTGAGCAAATTATTCTATCAGTTATTAATGTTAACCGTTGACTATGTCACAACTAAATGATTGATTTAATTATTTGTCTTTTTTAATTATTTAATTATTCACATACACATCTACAGTGTGTAAACGGTCAAAATATTTATAAATAATAAATTGACTTAATCGTATAAAGTTTTTCTTTTGTATGAGTGATGAAGCACAGAGAAAGAAGAAGCAGAATAAGGACAAGAACTATTTCACATAAAATAAACTTTTTTACAAAATTAATAATTTTGAAATCCACATTACCTGAACCTGTTGAGCCTAACAATATAATGTTGCTTTTTTCCAATTTTAATGGACGATCAAAATCATCTTTAAGAATCTGTGAAACACGACAACGTTTTTCTCGATCATCCTTTATATCAGATAAATTTTCTGAAGTCATTGAGAATGAAAATGAACTTGTTGAACTGTTCCCATTTTTTAATGAACTTAGTAAACCATTGCGTGACAAATTAATTAATTCTAAAAATAAGTAGAATATGAGTATATTGAGTTTAAGAAGATCAACATAGAATGTAGTAATAATAATATCAGCATTTAATGAGTTCATTAAGTACAAATCAGAATGATTGTATATGGTACAAAATGGTTATTTGATCAAAAATAAAATACAACAACAAACAAGAATGGTCGGTTATTCAAAAACCGAAATGGAATAAGTTGATGAGATTATTACTAATTTTTACAGGGACTAGCAAATTTTTCAGAAGCTTTTGTAATATTGTACACACACGTGTGATGAGTTCCAACTTTTGGACGAACCTTCATAACTCAGACAGCATGTGACAAGTGATTCATTCCCACCATCCTAAGAACTATCCTTTCCATAATAAACTGTGGTCTTCACCATATATACCTCTTACATCTATATCCTTGCAAATCTACGCTTATGTGTCTTATGCGTGTTTGTTTGCCTATACATTTATTATTTTAGTCAGTCACAACGTAGAACTTCATACTACGTACGCCAGTTCGATTTGCCATACCACATTAGCACAGAAATGAAGTTATCAACTTAAATCTTATAGTGATAGGGGTAACTCTGCCTGTAGCCCCTCCGGGGGTTACTGCCGGTCACAAGCCCCGATAAAGGAGGAAGGTTGGGCATGGGGTTAGCGACCTCATCCCGTAGAAAACTAAATCGCTAAAAAAACGCTAACGAGGGAAAATAATTCAAACCATTTAAACCCTGAACTGGTAGTCAGAAGGTCTTCATTTAGAAGAGTTATGACGCCTCGTCATGAAAGCTGAGTTCCTTCGGAAGTCACGAGACGATGCCCCTTCTAACAACCAGAGCGACAATTTTTATAGGTACATGGAATGTCCGGACAATGTGTGGGACCGGAAGAGTCTTCTAAATTGCTGCAGAAATGAGAAAATACAACCTGGAGGTGCTTGGAATCAGTGAAACACATTGGACACAGGTTGGACAACAACGACTAACTTCAAGGGAACTTCTGTTATACTCAGGTTATGAAGAAGAAAATGCCCCACATACACAAGGAGTGGCATTGATGCTGTCCGAACAAGCACAAAATGCACGTATAGCATGGGAATCTCATGGATCAAGGATCACCAAAGCCTCCTTCCTAACAAAGAAAGAGGGCATTACAATGAACGTCATCCAATGCTATGCGCCTACCAACGACTACAATGAAGACGTTAAGGATCAATTCTACGACAGGCTGCAGTCGATCGTCGAGAAGTGCCCAACAAAGGACTTGACCATTCTGATGAGAGATTTAAATGCCAAGGTTGGAATGGACAACACTGGATACGAACAGGTAATGGGACGTCATGGACTGACTGGGAGAAAGGAACGAAAATGGAGAGAGATTTGCAAACCTATGTGCCTTCAATAAACTGGTCATAGGCAGCACAATATTACCAGACAAACGCATTCACAAAGCCGCATGAACTTCACTACACACTACACAGAACCAAATCGACCATATCTGCATCAACAAAAAGTTCAAGAGGACGATGGAGAATGTGAGAACCAGAAGAGGAGCTGATATAGCATCAGATCATTACTTGCTGGTCGCCAAGATGAAGTGAAACTCAAGAAATACTGGACGACGGGGCGGACAACATCACAAAAGTTTAATACGGCTTTTCTTCGGGATACTGACAAACTCAACAAATTCACGATAGCCTTCTACAACAAGTTCGTTTGCAATGGCGAAGGTGCATCCACTCTTTGTGTTCTCCCAAATTCTAATCTTCCGAATTCTTCATGTCTCTCTCTTTTTTATCCTTCCAAATTTATTTCACTGGATTATACTCCCTGAATAACATCTTCAAACCCTAAACCTCCCGATTACTGCTTATAATCTTACTACATCTACCATTATGAGATTTAAATCGACAACTGCATCTCTGTGCTAATGTGGTATGGCGAATCAAACTGATGTACGTAGTACGAAATACTACGTTGTGACTGACTAAAATAATAAATGTATAGGCAAACAAACACGCATATTATTTTAACCAATAGCCACCTCCTTGTCACACCATGGTATAATCTATTTTCAGCCACATTAACGCTTATTATGAGTAATATTTTGAGTAGAAACCTTCGCCTTGTGTTTCTTATCCCTTCATCCGTCCACCGAAATAAATAAATGAAACACAAAAATCCAAAACAAATATCCGATACACGCGTTGCTTTTAACGGGATTTGTCAACAGAACATATACGATGTAAGTAGGTTCCATATTTCTCCTACATCATTAACGATTCGATCATATCGAAGCCAGACCACGTGCTTTAGAAATCCAGTTATTTAAAACTAGAAATTAAACGTACCGCATATTTAGGGTCAATCACTATTATTAATTAATTTACCAATGGAGAGAATGTAACAATAATAATTACTACCACTGTTATTATTATAATGATGCTAGTAGCAACTCTTATCAATTAACCAGGTGTAATTTCCTTGTTTGCGACAAACTATTTTATCGTCTGGAATTCTTTAATACACAATGTTATAATTAGTAGATTTGTTAACATGGCCACTGTTAAGGGAGATGTGCTGACATCATTGGTCTTGTTTATTTGTCCAAACATTTGGTTTTCTAGCTCCAGCATCCCCATATTGTGGTTTTGCTCGTGGTTTATATTGCATCTGAGTCTACACCTTGTGGTTGGATTTCATAGTCATTGAGAATATCAAACGAGAGTACGCACAATGTTTATCCCTATTAGTGTTATCTAGACAGTTGTGACAAACAACGTGCCAATATTGTTTTACCAATGAATAAACTTTCTGTAATTGTTGAATAAACGGATTCCCGTGTCATCGTTCGTTCACTAGTTCTGGTTTGAAAGTTGAGGATAGTTAAGTGAATTGTATTTCACTCTCGATCTGAACGTGAATACTCCAACAGCGACAAACTCTATGTCTCAAGAAATTAAAAGCACTCTTTTAAAAACGAAATCGTAAGTGTTTATAATCACTTTAAAATAGAAATAAAGAATACGGACAACTTTCACAAACACAAGTCAAATATTCATACCTGATACAGGGGGTTGACTTAAACTACCCTGATAATTTACAGATGTATAAGAACGTGTACCCGAAAATTCATTTGGGGAATAATGATTATTTACAGTATGTTTGGTTTCATTTGTTCCTGAGTTTAAACTATTTGAATTAAATCCATTATCTTCCGAAGTAGCCAGTGACCGATTATACTGTATACGGTTGTAATGAGCATATACTTGAACGGCAAGAATTTTTTTGGCTTTATCTTGACCTACTACATAGCGATCTAAGTATTGATGTATCTAATATAAATCGGAGTAAAGAGAACATTTCCAATGACAATAATCAGATACATGGAACAAATACATTAAATGACTTATTCGAAGCGGTAATAATGGTGAAAAAATCTACTCGATTCACTGGTCTGGCTTTACCTCACTACTAGAAAGCTCATATTCCTTTTCCTCCTACAAATTGTGCTTAGTTGAGACTGGATTGAGAAAAAAAACTATGCAGCGCCTGCAACTCACCAATACAGCTCAATTTAGGTTAATTATATTTGTCACTAATAAGGCACAATAGATCCAAGACCTTATAATTAGGAACAATTTACAGACGTCAAATATTCCATATTAGATCATCTTATCAAATCAAATTAATGATATACAATATCATTTTTAAGCGAACCAAGATTCGAACACGAAATGTTTAAAATAATGTATAACTTCATGAATACGATCAATAAGGATGAATTGCCTTTTATCAAAGCATAATGTTTTCCATCTCACATTCTCTAGAACTACATATATAAAAATGAAAGAATTTCAACCATTTTTTAACCTTCAGTAAACAGAACGAATATATGGAACGAGGTTTTATAATTATGTAAACAGTAACTAGCATTGTATGATAAAATTGTTAATGTGCATAATCTATACTGAATAGGACAATAAAATTCACTGGATGGAAGTTCATTCCATTTGGATCAGTAACATGAGCTGGTGCTAAATTAATCACGATGGCACAGAAAATATATTTATTATTTACAATCTATGAATTTTTGTTTCGATTATAATCTTACAAAAGATTTACTTTGAAAAAATCAGGTGACTGGTTGTTAATCAACGTTTCTAAGGCTAATATCCATGTATAAAGAGAAAAACAATACGAACAGCCTAACTGATAACAAAGAAAAAATAAACGGACAAATAAAACCACTTAAGGTTTACAACTGTTGATTTTTAACATCTCAGTGGCTCTGATTAACCTGGAAAACACACCGCTCAATATAGTTCTATACGAATTTGCATTCTATATTTCGGTAAACCGTGACTGGGTGAAGTCACTTGTTGTTACAGATTCCCACTTTTATGGACTGATTTACTCTTTTCCTCTCGAACTTTATAACATCTAAAGAAGATATAAGGCATGCCACAATTTCCACTAAAAGTAAATAACCCTTTGAAAACATGCGATATTTAATAAACAAGCCTTGCAATGTCGCACTCAGATTTTGTTAGGCATCAGGCAATAAACATATTCAATCAATAATTATTATTTATAAACGTGTCAGAGAGCATTACTATATGATTATGAAACGCATGCACCTAACATTTGCATGCTCTCAGGATATTTATAAACTGTACATTAAATAGCCACCGTCGGTACTGTTATAAGAATTATGAATGGTAACTTTTGAGAACTATTTATGGACCAATATGATACATATATTTTTATCGTATAATTGTTAAACAACTAAACTATTCATATTCATGTTCCTCACATTATAAGCTTTATTTTGACCCATAGACTTTTACAATACAATTCACCATTCTTGAGTTATGCTCTGTCTATCAGTTACTGTATCCTACATTCACAGCCATATTTAGCCAAATCTTGTTTAAATGTTGTTTTCCTATTTTATGGTATGATGTGATCTGTCTGTTTGGTATGCTTGAAATAAATGATTCATACCACAGAGGCTGTTATTGGTATTCTGAACTTAACTGGCTGGGCTAGGCAGAAAGCAGGACCGACAAGTACTCTAGACTGCTCGTACGGGTTTTAAGCGTCATTGCTCCGATCGATAAATCGCTGCTCTCTAATTGGCGGTATAATCACGTCATACATTAACAGGACATCCAAGCAGGTCACAAGTCATAACAGGCAGACAGCACAATTTCAGTAACCGTAACCTATTAAATCCACAGATGGTCTGGGAAAAATACCTGTACCATTACTAACCGTAAGTTAAGTTACAGGGCAATGAAATTTATCTCACAGAATAATCATACAGTAAAAGAGCTCAAGAATGTGTTTAATTACTACTTCAACCTCCTACACTTGTCAAACGCAACATTAGAATTATCAAATGAATATTTGCGGAAAGTGACTGCTAAAATTGGATGAATGACGAAATATTCTGATTATCATCGGGAAACCGATTCAACTTCATTGTTTAATTTTAAGGTGATTTGATCTACGCTAAGAAAGTTCAGCTGTTAATGGTTGGGGTGCTTAAGCAGTGTACATTTGAAACTTAGAACACATATTCTCTCGAGATCGCAGACATACACCATGTTGATGTGCCAAAAAGCGTGGGCCATGAATGACTAATATCTGCCAAAAAATATATGGTTATTATGCTGAAACTCTCATCATCTCTAGCTCTAACCACTTAACGATTTTATTCGTATCAGAAGGAGTTTTGTGGAAATTTTAGTAATTTTATACTTGAATTCATGAGTTAATTGAAGGTAGACCGCCATGGAAAACCTGGAAGCACTCGACGTCCGTTTTGTCCTATTGTGGGACTCCTCAGCGGTGCACACCCACGACCCATAGTTCTAATGAGAAGCAGTGACCGGTGGAGTTTAACAAGGTCTGTTGTGAGATAGCAACTAACTGAAGACAATGGTGGACAGTTGCTCAATTTCGTGGATCGGTTGAACTTAGGCATTAACACCGTTGGATGCCAGCTCAGTGGTCTAGAAGTTAGGCGCTCGTGTGCGAGACTGGTAGGTTCTGGGTTCGAATCTCGCGAGGCGGGGTCGGGGATGCGCACTGCTGAGGAGTCACACAACAGGACGAAACGGCCGTCCAGTGCTTTCAGATCTTATTCTTATTTGGACTACAGGAGTCAGTCGGATAGAAATAAGTAATCCTACTAATCCATCAGTTTATCATATCATCCTCACCTACACTCGGGTTTGTACATGTTTAAATTTATTGAGGCTTCTACTTAACTTATTTAAGTCTCTTTTGTGTCAGCAACAACTGCACTATTATTATTCCCAGGCTTGTATGATCATGTATGATTTGGAATAAGTTACAGCCCACACATATGTTCATCTTACTAGCCTAGATGTCAGTCACTTAAAACGCGTGATGACTCATTTGAATGCTTATAAATCTGTGCATTTTAATTCCTGTTTATTCATTCATATTCGTATTCGCATTCCCATCGTGTGCTTGATGGTCGTTTGTTCCGTGGTGAGCAAAAATAAGCTGTAGTTATCGCTTAGCACTGCTTCTGAAATGCAAACACTGTTGGGAAATTATCATGATGACAGTTATCAGGACGAGTGACATACGAAGTATAGGAATCATCTCGAAGATATTCTACTACAATATATCTTAAAAATAGCGTCGCAGACATAAAGAACTGTAAATACGAAATTATTAATTAAAAGAGTAAACAAGGTAATAAAAAGACTACATATTTGCACAAAGAATGACTTGCCTCCTTAGGACTAAGGAGTGAAAGAGGCCGACTTTCATCCACATTGCTAAATGATGGGAGATCATTCTTATCTGTTAATTCGTAGAGTTGTTCACATGCTTCACACTCCATAAAACGTGATATATCTGTGAAAGTGGATATAATTGATTACGAAGTTGGTAAAATCATTTATAATTGTTTACGAAACTGGTTACTCATGGTGCATAGCGAACACCCATAGTAAATAAACAGTAAGACTAAGTATAGCTTAGTGAAACTCAATAACTATATACCAATTTATGTAATTGAGTCCCAAGCCATATTTTCTTTGGTGTTTGGTGATACTACCCAATTCCAAAGACTTGCTTATTTTTACTCTTCTACAAACACTGAATAGATAAATTATATATTTGTAATATCCCAATGAGTAGAAAAATTAGATTTTCTGACGTTTCGTGACTCAGTGTAAGCTACTTCTTCAGATTTTTATTCTCTGGAGAAGTGGCTTACACTGAGTCACGAAACGTCCGTAAATCTAATTTTTCTACTCATTGGGATATTACAAATATATAATTTATTTAAAACAATCTACCCAATGCTCAATTTATTCAAAATTAGCTGAATAGATAGTTTACATTGGTATAAATAAACTACAAAGTAAGTTCCTTTAAACATACTGATAAAATACTTCGGTATACAAAAATTCTAATACGTATACACGTTGGCAAACCTTACCCTTTAAGTGCCAACAAACGATTTCAGACGACCAGTAATAATCCCTATATTTAAACGTTATGTTTCTTGACACAACAATAAAGTACATTCTCAAACACCTGATAAGAAGCATATTTACCATGAGACCGGAATTAACACAGAACAGATGTCAAAAACCTTACTGCTATGTTATATTGAAATTAAGGATTAAACTGAAACAAGTAGTAGAAAAAAACGGAAATGAAGGGCGCTTAAATGTTCTCAGAGGATTATGAAGAGATTAGAATTTAGAGTATCATAGTAAAAACACGACTCTTTAAGGCATCTTAAACAGTTATACGTGGATGATTTGGGTCATCACTAACTTTAGAATTGTTTCATAGTATATACAAGTTAAAAAACAGATAGGAATTAATTTTAGCCTTTTTGTCCCCAATCGGTTAGTGATAATCAATACAGGACCTGGTACAGATGCTCATCAGTCCAAGTTGTTACGTCACATTAAAACAAAGAGAGGAAATGAACAAGACGCATGTCAAAGAAGTTTAAACAATGGAAGCACCAAAGATACTAAACGAAGACTGAGCATAAGGAATATGGCTTGGGAAGTCTCTCATACAAATTATTTTACACTGTTCAAGTTTCGCCAAGTGATTCGACAGCTGGATAAGGGATATTTAATGCGAATTATGAAAAGCAATTACCAAAAAAGAAGCTGTTGTGCACAGTATTGGTTACCTTGTTGCTAGTGACTGACACATGAGTGAATATCGTTCAGTATGGCTTCTTCCGTGTCCTTATAGATTAACGTAATCACTTTTTACTACTACTTGGCATTCATATTGCTTTACCGATATAATGTAATTTAGACTGGTAAAAATGCGTTTTACGTTCCACGCTACTTATGAATGGCATTGTTTTTATATTTTATTTTATTTTTCATGATTAAAAGGTGTAAGAACTCTAATCAATATATTATTAGGAAGTATCCTAGATTCGGTTACCTTTCTATTATGCTACACTTCAATGATTACCACTAATATTTCGCCTTTCAATCTAAACGCAAAATACAATTTTGCATCCCCGTACTTGTAAGTGGTAATGGTCAGAGTCAAAATAGTTGCAATTAAAACATAACTATGGTGAGAAGGCCTTTTTAAGTGAAAATAACTAGATTTAAACAACCAACTTGAAAACATTAGTTTAAATAAATCATCGACATTAAACGATTACATGATGTTGTTGGATCAAGAGACTTCAAAGGACCACCACATTTGTTACACCTGATGAAAGAGCCGGTGCCATTTCCAGAGCCTCCTCCTCCAGCACCACCAGAACGTTCCTTAGAACCGATAATATGATGGCTCACATTGGCGGAGTTGAGGGAACCACCGCCTTCTAAAGGTCCCCCTGGATTTTGACTTTTATCTAATAAATATAAAGACAAGGACGAACAACTAGAGGCAAAAACGAAACATAGTAATTTTCTTTAACAAGAAATATGCTATGCATGGATTCACTTACCTTAGCTCTGTTTTCTTGACATCACCGCTAATCAAGTTACTAACTGCATTATTTTACTAATTTACAAGTCATTACTCCCCATATAACTATGTCTAAGAATCAAACAGTCAAACAGAAAGAAACAGAGAAATGTCATCGATACATGAAGTTCGAGGGTCGACCACCCGACCGGCCAATAATAACAGCTCTTTGGAAACGTATCACTAAACGTTATTCTGCCCAGTTTTCCAAAGGATTACAGAAGTCAAACAAAAGCACACTCTTCGAACATCTAATCAATTCTGATCATTTCGCTTTACCATACGCCTCCTTTAAAATCATACATAGTTAGAAGAGTTGGCTCGATAGGAATAAAAAGGAAAAACGTGTGTACATAAAAAGCTATTGCTATCCATTGTTTCAAGCCTAGCTTTTGCGTAAAATAACAGTGTATTCAGCCCCTCGTTCTCCCATGGTTTTAAACTTCCTCTCTACCAAAATCTATCGATTTCTATCTTCACTTTATTATTTCCACTCCTTCCAATTATTTCCAAAACTAATACTTAAGAACTATTATAACTTTTAATTATCCCATTTTTTTTATAGATATCAAGTGGACAACTATCTTCAGTCAGTCAATCAGTCATCTACAGCGTAGGACCAGGCACATGTATGCATCGGTCCAAGTTGCCATACCTAATTAGCACGACAAGATGAACATCGAATTCATAGAAGTAGTTACTTCAATGACAGTAATATATAGAAGAAAGATTGCATATAAGGATATAATACAGGAAGAAAGATATGAAGCAATTTTAATCTCACAGTAGAAAGGAAGACAGAGAGTGTAAACATGTACGCCATTGTGATCCATTCTGAGCCATGTCACACAGAGTCTCCAACCATTGGTTACGATAGTCATGCGGACCCCAACCAAGTAGTCTACATCTACCAACATGGTCCAGACTAGAAGTTAGTGTCTTCAAGGACTGATACCAAGTTTTGATTTGACCGCTCCTAATTCTCTTCCAACCATCCCCAATACTAGTCAGCATTGCGCGTCGTGGTAATCGGTGTTCAGGAATACGTAACACGTGGCCCAACCACCTCAGTCAAAGAAGATTCACAATCTCACCAACTGATTTACCATCATTCCTTAATACCCTGAGTCTAACCTCACTATTACTTACCTGGTGGTCCCAGCCGATGCGAGCAATATTTCTAAGGCATCTGTGGTCAAATACTAGTAACTTACGAGTATCTTCTACTCTTAATGGCCATGTTTCGCTGCCGTAAAGTAGAACAGAATGAACTTTTGTGCAGTATACTAGTCCCTTAATTAGTAGACGGATATCTCGTTTTCGTCGTAGGCGATGTAAGTTGGCAAAAGCCAAACGAACTTTTTGAATCCGTGCAGAGATTTGGTCAATCACCAACCCATTAGGGCTGATCAGACTTCCAAGTAAAGTGAAGTTATCGACACGTTCGACTACTTCATTCTTCATCCTTAGTTCAGGTGTTGACGCAGGCCAGTCCTGGAGTAACAATTTACATTTAGTGGGGGAAAAATGCATCCCAAACATCCTGGCATTGTTATTCAGTGCCTCCAAAACACTGCATTTTGTCAGCGTCTTCATCAAACAGGACTATATCATCTGCGTATTCTAAGTCGATAAGTGGACCTCCTAGAAGGAGATCAATTCCCGAAACTTCAGTCGACGAGAACGTTATTTCCATCAGTAGGTCTATGATAAAATTGAACAGAAATGGAGATAGTGGACAGGCTTGTCAGACAGCACTTGAAGTTGTAAGATCAGATGACAGTTCGCAATAAGCTCCGACTCGACTGGTATTGTTCGAGTAAGGAGCATTCACAAGGCTTATGTACTTCTGAGGTACACCTTTCAATGACAGACACTGGCCAAGACCCTCTTGATCTACAGAGTCAAATGCTGCTTTTAAGTCAAGAAAAACTATCATTGTCGGACGCTGATAAGCATGTCTGTGTTCCAAAACCTGGTGAACAGTGAATATGTGGTCGATACACTGACGACCAGGAATTCAAGTAAAACAATTAAAAGGCTACGACGAAGGACGTTTAAATTCTGGGTACGAAGACAGGAGAAAGACAGCTTCCATGCAATGATTTAATATATCAACACTTAATCGATAGAAACCTTTCCAAATAAAACTAACATGTTCATTTGAGATTGAGGGTTCATTAGAACCACTAGTAGTCCGCTAAAAAGAACATTGAAGTGTTATGACAATTAAGTCACACAAATTGATTAGCAACAGCCAATGTGTAGTTTTCAATGAATAAGATTGAATATGAAAACCAATACAATGAGAATTTAGGTTACATGAGGTGGATGGTAAGAAATGTCCATGCAATGCATAGCGAATCCAAGAATTCTGACAACCATGATATATCTGGAACCAAAACGTTGAGAAGCTTGAAAGATTTCGGATAATTTGGATGTTTCTGTACTAATTGTTTAGGTGAGACTATAATTTATGAACGAACCAATCAGATTTAAGATAGCCGTTCTTAGATTTTGGCGTGAGACTCATCCACTCACTTGGCTAAATACCATTTTGGTATTATAGCTGATGTCAGTTCGTGATGAAAACATTAAATATAATTTCGAACCCTAACGTTTAATTATAAATCCTAATCCTAGTTCCTCGCACTAATTTATAACCCTCATTTAACCCTAGTAAGTAGATGACATTTTCAAGGTTATTTTAGCGTTGCTCAAAAGTCGTCCATAACTTGTAGTCTCGCCATTGTTTACAGCGGCTTAAAAATAAGAGCTAACTATTGTAACTTTTCATAGGACTATCTCAACCCTTTTCCAAAGTATACAAACCAATTTTACTTGTTCATTTACGGGGCACATACGCATGTACTAAGAGTCATATGACAACAGCTTGATCAAAAAACCGGTTTGATAAATTTACTTCAAACTTTTATAAGTCTAAAAAGGTGGAGAATAAGGTCGAAATCATAGGTGTGAACCTACTTGCTCATAACCGGTTGAGTGGTGAAACTAATTTACGAACGCTCTGCAGGAGATGCTAAAGTGACTCTCAGAATGTTCACCTACTAACTATGGTTAATAGATAGTTATGTATTGGTGTGAGGAATTAAGATTATGATTAACAAATGGATGTTGGGGTTAGGAATTGCAAAAATGGTTTTTATAAAGAACTGACTTCAGCCTTAGAGTCGAAATGTTAGTTAGTCAAACGCATGAATGAACTTCGCCCCAAAATTCAACACCTGTGGTCTAAGGTCTGATTAATTCATCTAGAAATCAGTCTCGCCGGTCAAGCCCAACAGTACACTGGCAAAGATTCATTTTTTTTATAAAAGCAGGGTCGGAACGAGAAGAGCTAGACCCGTGTATCACACAATATTCAAGCTGACTTCATAATACCGGGAGATAAGGCTTATCATAAGACATTTAGGTAAAGACTATTCCCGTATATACTTTTTGAGCGGAATTTGATATAAAATACTTACTAGATTTGCGACATTCGATCATTTTGCAAAGCCCCGAAATGTTGCAATCTTCGTGAACATCATCTTTCGAAACCTGTGAGTGTGTTAGATTTTCACACGTATTCCACGAGTTATTTCCATAGCGGGCAACAACTATTTACTCTATAAAACAGTGAAACATACTTAAAAATGCACTTCCATGTGTCTTCCACCTTTTAAAAGCACAAGAAAATGCAGAGGAAGCGAAATTACTCATAATTTAAAAAACTACAGAAACAAAAGTATAAAATTCAGATTTCAACGCAACATTTGAAACCTGCGCACAGATCCAATGGTTCAAATGGTTGTGGACTCAATAGAAGTTTTCGCCTAACGGGCTTCCGTGTCTAGTAGCAGCGGATCACTAATGCCTCTAGGCAGGGACCGTGATGTATTAACGATAATAGGAAAAAAAGAAGTTGGTACATCATAATAAGATGTTATCCTTAGTCCTTAAGAATAGGCCAAGTTTCCTCTTAAAGGACTCCTGGGAAGTCGCTTGGACTAGCTCACTCAGCAGCGAATCCCGGAATTTGACAATTCTTAAGTAGTAGAATTTTTGTCATCTGCCCAACATTGAAGTCGAGTCAGATCCTCCTGAAGTGCCAGTATATCCTCTTGGTTGCGCATCTCTCTCCGAAGTTTTACATCATCAGCAAAAAATAATAATTCAGACGATACCTGTTGTGGAAAATCGTTTATATAAATCAAGAAGAGAAGAGCTCCTAGTATTGAGCCCTGGGGAACCCCACTAGGACATTCCATAACCCGGGAGAAAGTGGAGTTAACGCTGACCTTAAAATGTCGGTTTTTTAGATATGAAGCGAACCAGTCAATAAAAGGTGGTTTGAGACCCATTCGTTTAAGCTTATTGATAGGACATATATGGTTGACCCCATCAAAAGCTTTTGAGAAATCAAGGTAAATGATATCAACCTTCCCCTCGAGATCAAAGATGATTGTCCTTCTGTCCACCGCAGTAAGCAGGTTGATTATACAGCAGTGACCCCTCCTGAAATCATGCTGTTGGGGTGATAAGAACTTCAGGGATAATAAGTAGTCGTATATACTATCGCATATCAGGGGCTCCATAATTTTAGAAGGTTTAGAAAGAAGGGCCACCGGTCAGTAGCTTGAAGGTTTGCTGCTGCGACCTCCCTTGAAAATTGGTGTGATATGAGCCAGCCTCCAAATTTCCGGTAGTTTGCCGCGGCTTAGCGAGTGTGAAAACATAACGCTAAGTGGTGTTCTCAGGATTGAGACTGCTTCTCCGGACCGGGAGAAGTGTCTTTTCTTAGGTGCTGCAGTTTACGGAACACCAGGCCAGCACTCAGGTTCACTTCGGAAAGTCCTGCGCAGTTGCAGGTGAAGCTTTCATCAGTGTAGTTGATGTGTGTTGGTTGAAATGTCCGAGAGCATTGTTCAGCCAAAAGATTAGCGGCATCACCGTCGTTACTGGTCGGACCATTAGGACCTAGCAGTTGGGAAACTCCAGTTTTGGCTAGTCGAAGAGAAACTGTGTAACGGAACTAGATTTTCGGGTGTGAGACAGATTCAGCGACAAGCTTGGTCTGCTACTGAAGCCTGTCTTCCCTTATTCCCTTTGTACATATGTTCCTTATATGTTTCTATCGCCTGTACGCGCTGTTGTTACCAGTTCGTTTATATTCAGCCCATCAGTGCCTTTTGCAGCTTAGCAAAGAACAGTGCGGTTCTCGATGATTGTAAGTTGTTTGTAGCTTTTTGAAATCGTTTGAAGAACTGAATGCTTAGTAGCACATAAGAGCGTGTGCAGTAATAAATCCCAATGATCAACCACTTCAAGTTGGAGGTTAACATCCCAATCCACATGTTGTAGATACTCCTGTAAAGCTGATACATTCAGCCATTTGAAATTCCAGTGCCTGTTGCTGGTGGGATATCTTAGCTCAGATTTGCTGACAAAACTGAAGGCCATAATAGCGTGATTGCTCTTCCCCAAGGGATCCAGAATTGAGAGGTCACCTGTTGAGTTGGAATGTTTTTGAGTTTCAAGGAATGCTTGATAAATTTTCATTCCCCAGTATCAGAGTTTGCTTGGCCAGGGTCCGAATTTTCCGGTACACCTTGCAAAATGATATTTCTTCCTCGGAAAAACACCTCTCTAGATTGTCTAGAGATATTCCGGATAATATTTCGCTCAGAATACGGTATGTCAGGAAGTATTCTTACGTTCCCATCGGATTTCAGTAAGTGACAAGCTAGCAGGACGTCGTCTACGTCGGAAGCATTCTTGAGTACTGCACGAAGTAGCCTCGGTTGATTTTGATGGTTAGAGTCCTTCCCCCGAGTTAGCCGTGTGACCGTCAAATGCTCTATTCTAGGGAGTTCAAGCTTCGTGTTTAATTCTCCCCAGAGCATCCTGTCATTTTTGTCTTGCAAACGGAGGGGAAGGTTAGGGTTTTCTCTAAGGTTCATGATAATGGGAGAGTCATTACGAACCTTTATTGATTTCCCAGGTTTTCCAGAGCGTCCAGGTTCGACACCTTGTTGTTTGGAGGTCGAAGCGCGTTTCCGATTCTTAGGCTCTTTGATGACCGGACGGACCTTCTTGGAAGCAGACTGTGCGGCAAAGTCACCAGTTGATTTCCGTACAATACTTGAGATGTTCAGCTTAGACGGTGACGTCTGGTCCTCTTTAACTCTGTTAACGTGGGTCCAACCATTTACAGAATTTTTGGGAACCACTGTTGCATTCAAGGACTCTGTGCTGGGAGACCCAAATTTGCTGAGGGAGTCAATTACCATCGACGTGAAGATGGTGTTGAGTTTCAGCATGTCATAACTAGGCTTTTATCTGCTTCATCGATAGTAGACCTGTCGATATCCCTCTTCTTGTTTACACTGCGCGTTCCTGTTTCCTACCCGTTGTGTGACTGCCATTTAGCAAGTTTTCAGACAACTTGTTCCTCAGACCTGTCAGTAGGGCAGTGATGTTACCCAGCAAAACTACAGTATCCGTGTTGCACAGAACATATACCCGTCTAAGATCCGACTTGCTGAGTGCGTTATAGGCAGTTGCTGTGAGATCCGTGCACGCTTTGTGGAACCAACCTTTGCACTTGTCGCACTACATGCCAGATGTGACAGAAAAACGGTGAACAGGAATTTCGCATGAATTTTTCATGACTATATTGACATCAACTGTCTTATAAATACAAGCAAAGAGCCCAGGACTATTAAAAGAAACACAGTACACTTAAACAGGCAAAAATGGATAAAAACGGGTTACGACAAGCTACAACTAGTCTTTATGTGGAAACTGAAAAAAAAACGAGCAGTAAGCTGAGGCAAAACCAGAGTTAACTATTAAGTCGGGTGAAACTAAAAAAAGTAATCTACCAAGCATATAGCTCAGAATAGACTCTTTAGATCAGAAATGGTACTTTTGTTGCGCAAGGACACAGCCAAACTTTGAGAAATGTAAATCACGCTAGGATTGAACTTTCCTTCATCACGAACATGCTTAAACCTATTGATCAGCTTGCGCTGGCTTCTTGTCGTTCGGTAGTCCTTTAGGTGGTAGTCTAGCTACTTGACTACGCTAATTCTAGTAAACTTGGTAGTTATGTCTAGATTTGTCCATCTCACCACATGAATTTGAATTTCGTATGAAAATCTTAGAGATCTTACTGCTGTGGTTGAGAATCGTATTGTTAATGGGAATTAACAAAAAGATTATGTGCTGAGAAACAAAGTTAAGGTTTTGAATTGTACTATGTTATAAGAAGTAAGGAGTAATTCTTAGAGGATGTTTGACTCTTTCTTCATCTGGTACAGCCTCAAAAAGCTTCAAAATCGCTGCTATATTTCCGCAACGGTAATAGAAGATCACAGAACTGTCTATAAATATCACCCCCTATGAGTACAGGGAAAGAAACAGGATGTACATTACACTCTTCAATCAGCAGCTCACTACCTTAGCTGCATAATTTTCCAGTTAAGTTCTCTGAAAATTATTTACAAATTTTGGCAGACTTTGTCCACTGATCTAAGACCATTTTAAGGATAGCTCTTAAAAACCGACATCGTACACTACTTAAAAAGAACAGTGGTGTTTTTCGTCTACCAGTTAATTTTATTGTTTTGATCGTTTATTACGCATCAACACTGCTGTTTCCACTCCGAATGAATTTGTTTCAATTAAAGTATTAACCAAGAGTATTCCTTTTTTTAGTTAACCATCGATACTTTTAAGTACATTAGTAAAGTGGAAATACGGATTAATAGTAGGCTGCGTTTCTTTAGTCGGGTATACCAAAGTAGAATTATGGTATGTTTCGTTATCGGTGCTATTATAATAATACACCTAATCCTAAAATTGTAGATTTTTCATGATATGATAGCCTAATTTATAAGATATCACGTGTAAGTCATATCATTGTCTATTCTGACGCATCGCAATAATCAGCAATATAACATTTGACTTTTGTAGAAAGCACATTTATGCTAGAAACAGAATAGCATATTTAGTGTGAGTTAATAAAAGTTACGCAGAATGACCACATCTAAAAGGCTGAGCCAAGCCATTTGATTAAATGCAATTAATTCTGCCTGCCTTCCCCATTCTTGACCTTATATTCATGTTAATTGCTAAATATGCATTTTCCAGTTATCTCATATTCGGCTTTGAGGATTATGTGGTTGGGAATAATACCACTACATAAATTTTAATCCATCTGTAACCCAGGGTTGGTTACTAAACGACTGTCTTCAAAGCAGGTACGAAACATAAATCTGAGTACTACTGACCCGTTAGCCCAACCAGCGTGGTTGTTGAAATTTTAGAAAAGATTATTCGGAAAGACCTGTTTATGTATGTCGATGAAAACTGTATTCTTTCTGAAAAGCAGCATGGTTTTAGAGTTGGTTATTCCTATCTCACTAACTTATTAGTGGCTCGTGAAACCAGAAGTTACCCCTGAATGTGGCCTACACTGACTTCATCAAAGCTTTTGAAAAAGTTCCACACAACCGACTGTTATACAAGTCAAGAAGTGTCGGGGTTGAGGGATGTGGATAAAAGACTTCCTAGTTTAGCGCCAATAAAGAGTACGGATGAACCCCAAGTTGTTAAACTCGGAAACTGTGATTGATGGAGTGCGTCAGAGTACAGTTTTGGAGCCAGTGTTGTTCCTCTTGTCCTCTTCTCTCTTCACATTGTGTAAATGAATTACCAACTGTAGCTAAGTCACCCGCTCTACTCTTCGCAGATGAAATAAAGGTCTGGAGACTCATGTAAAGCATGTCAGATA